TCAATACCAAGAATCTCACACTGGCTAAATTTGGAGAGCCTCCTTGAAAATGTGCTCTCTTAGAACTAAGTGTTTTTATCCTTCCAGTATGTGCTTGTTTTTTACAGCTTACATTAAATCAGAGGTGTCCAACCTTATGGCCTTCAGGGGCCACATTGGAAGAAGAGTAATTGTTTTGGGCCGCACACAAAATAAACTAACAACACGGATAGTTGATGAGCAGAAAAGGTTGGGCATATCACAAGTTAACAATCACTAATATAGATAATATACCTATCTGAGTAATAAAACCTTTTTGAACCGTAGTGGCTGGGAAATCACATGGTGCTTTTCCAGGAGATAGCAGTACCATCTTTACATTCAATCCTAAAGGTACCACATCCTCAAACTTATACAGTATATCAAAAAGCCTAAAAAAAAGGACATGACTTTCAAGGTACCAATATATATAACAATGTTTCATAAAATTAAAAATTTTCATTCAATCCATTAAAGGTTACATTAAAAAAAATATTACTCATGTTGCTAAAAATGTATATAACAATCTTTGGCAAGTAACTCAGATTGCCAGATGAGCATTTATATACGGCTAAACATGTTATGGTATGTTAATTGCCAGACAGTCTTTGAATAATGGGTGCCTATTAATTAATTTATTTATAAGGGACTATACCAGCAATGTAATGGAATTATAGTATATATAAAAGGGAGAATCTAGTTAAATTATGTGACCTTATTAATTTTCCAGTAATAAAGTTAGAGATTCAGAACCAAGAAATAGATATATGGTTACTTAAATATATACACTGCTCAAATAAATTAAAGGAACACTTTTTAATCAGAGTATAGCGTCAAGTCAATTAAACACCTGGGATATTGATATGGTCAGTTAACTAGCAGAGAGGGTTGCTAATCAGTTTCAGCTGCTTTGGTTTTAATGAAATTAGCAACAGTTGCACTAAATGGGCAACAATGAGACGACTCCCAAAACAGAAATGGTTTTACAGGTGGAGGCCACTGACATTTTTTTCCCTACTCATGTTTTCTGACTGTTTTTCACTAGTTTTGCATTTGGCTAGGGTCAGTGTCACTATTGGTAACATGAGGTGATACCTGGACCCTACAGAGGTTGCACAAGCAGTCCAACTCCTCCAGGATGGGACATCAATACGTGCCATTGCCAGAAGGTTTGCTGTGTCTCCTAGCACAGTCTCAAGAGAATGGAGAAGATTCCAGGAGACAGGCAGTTACTCTAGGAGAGCTGGACAGGGCCGTAGAAGGTCCTTAACCCATCAGCAGGACCAGTATCTGCTTCTATGTGCAAAGAGGAACAGGATGAGCACTGCCAGAGCCCTACAAAATGCCCTCTAGCATGCCACTGGTGTGAATGTCTCTGAACAAACAATCAGAAACAGACTTCATGAGGGTGACCTGAGGGCCTGACGTCCTCTAGTGGGCCCTGTGCTCACTGCTTGGAACCATAGAGCTCGATTGGCATTTGCCAGTGAACACCAGAATTGGCAAGTCTGCCACTGGCGACCTGTGCTTTTCACAGATAAGAGCATGTTCAATCCCCTCATGTTTTGCATTGTATTGTTATTGTTCTGTCCCCCTTTGTAATGTACAGCGCTGAGCGAACTATTGGCGCTTTATAAATACTGTATAATAATAATAATGTTCACCCTGAGCACATGTGACAGAAAGGGTCTGCAGAGGTTGCGAAGAATGTTGTGCTGTCTTTAACATTATTCAGCATCACCATTTTGGTGGTGGGTCAGTGATGGTCTGGGGAGGCACATACATGGAGGGACGCACAGACTTCTGCTGGCTAGACAATGGCACCCTGACTGCCATTAGGTATCGGGATGAAATCCTAGGACCCATTGTCAGACCTTATGCTGGAGCAGTGGGTCCTGGGTTCTTCCTAGTGCACGATAATGCCCTGCCTCATGTGACGAGGCAAAGGGAAGCAATTGAGCTCGAAACACTTTGTATGCTCCTAGGGATATGGGAAGTCTAGGGGTACTGGATTTTTGGAAATACTATATTGCAGCTCAACTCACGTAGATCAGCAAATTTCATCATACACCCTATAAACCGGATTGGGTATCTATAGAAGTCCAGGCTTGTTCCCATTTGCCAATAGACACGGTCCATGGGTCCTATGCTTTCCCATTCCATAGCTTTATGAGCCTCCACATGTAGACGTTGGTCTCTTAGTTCCCCCCACACACCTGTGGCTTTTCTCTTTAACAGCCCATTATTTCCGCCAGGTAGGACACCAGCTCAGTTCCACTGGTGGACAAATAAGGGCCTTTATCTTATAGGACAGTTTATAGATCATAAGGGAATACATTCTTCCTCATACAACATACAGGAAATTTATATAAATATATATATAAATATAAATTGTCCAAATTGTATGCGGGCACCTTAATATTTCCCTTCACTGGAACTAAGGAGCCAAGCCCAACCCCTGAAAAACAACCCCACACCATAATCCCCCTTTCACCAAACTTTACACTTGGCACAATGCAGTCAGGCAAGTACCGCTCTCCTGGCAATTGCCAAACCCAGACATGTCCATCAGATTGCCAGACAGAGAAGCATGATATGTATGTTTGTAATCTTTTATAGTATAGTTCTTTGTCCAAAGCATGTTTGAAGCCACTTACTGTTGACTGACTCTCTATCTCTGCTGGAAGTCTATTGACAGCACCAACCACCCTTTCAGGGAAATAATACTTTATAAGATTAGTTTTGAACTGCTGTTCTTGATCTTAGCTTCATATTGAAAATACTGCCCTCCTGAACCTTATTCACCCCCTTGATGTATTTAAAGGTTTCAATCATGTCTCCCCTTTTCCCCCTTTCCTCTAGACCAGGGATCTTTCTAAAACAAAGAGCCAGTTTATTGTCCTTCAGACTTTAGGGGGCTGGACTATAACCAACGAGAGTAGGTTATAGTCCAGCAATATCACATATGTGATAGCAATATCACATATGTGTATATTAATTATTATTTATATCCGTAGTACAGCCCAGAAACAATAGTGTGCATTTTGCTTTTTTCTTATCCTTCCCGATTGTCACACTATATATGCACCACATCCTGGTATGTCATGTTTTCATACCCAGATTTTGTTCAAATATTGTCTGTTTTTCATCTATTTTACACTGATACATCTGCACCATCAGGACAGAGTTATGTGCTTTCAGTCTTCAGAAATAAATACACAACTGTATCACTTTTATTCTTGTCTGCCCCTTACTCTGCATCATGTCATAAACATCTACTGTATGTCCCAGAGTCTGGATGCATTGGTGACAAGAAAACAAGACTGGGAGAAAAACTCTCATTTGGTTGCATGCATTGGAGATTATCTATCTATCTATCTATCTATCTATCTATCTATCTATCTATCTATCTATCTTGCCACCCCCAAAGGAGTTGCTGATGACTTTGGATTCTCTGTTCTGCCCCTCAACTCCAAAAACAATCTCGCCCCCCCGACACACCAGGTTGAATTGCAATACTGCAGACACCAGTGCAAGAGACTCTCAAAAGGGTAGATTTATAAGACAGTGCTTTACTACAGATTACTAGGTCAGCAGATGACACATTAGTTATGAATATTCCCAGCTTGCATATAGGATCAAATAAAATTACAAAGCTATACAGTGGGGATGACCGTGTCAATTGACCTAATAGCAGGACCAAGCAATTCCTAAATAACCCTATGACTACAGGAGCAAGAGGGGAAAGAGGAGACCTATAGTCAGACAGTTCCCTCTACTTCCTACTACCACAGGCAAAGAAAGCAATACGAAACAATTTAGGAGACCAGGGTAGGAGTTCCCTCTTAAAGTAACTAGTGTTACGCAGTCCCAATACAACCCCCAGTCAGTTTAAGACTCTGCAGATTGATCCCTTTGACAGGAATAACTTCTGGAGGTAAATGTATCCTTAGCCCCCAGATATAAAAAGGCAAAGTGGTATCACTGTACAATGGCCACTGACAGAATGAGCAGGATAACAAAGATATTTTCCAACAGAAGCCTTCAGGCAAATGAAGAAAACTGTCTGTATGCAGTGTCTATACTCTGTTAAGGAGAATGTTGGGCTTGCACCTGCTCACCAGACCCCTGGGGTATGATACAACTGCAATCTGCTGTGGAAGACCAGGCTCCTGTAGAGTAAAATGGCCCCGGGTTGCCTCCTGACAAGCAATCAAGAATATAAATGGTAACACCTGCAGAGTGCTCAGTAGTGTCCGACCCGATTTCTGTAGTCCCAGAAACGGTGGAAGTCGGATGATGGATTGCCAAGTGGGTTTACTGCACTGGATGGTGGAGATGGTGGAGTCCCCACATGGCTGCTGCAGAAGGATTTTATCTGCCTCCCCAGGATGCCCTTTGGTTTCCTCTCCTCTGGTAATTTTACTCCAGACTATACTGAAAAAACACAGTGTCCCTCAGCAGTGGGACCAGGGGCGGACTGACAACTCATGGGGCCCCCGGGCAATAGGGGATCATGGGGCCCCTGTGTCCTTGCCTAAACTCAAAAAAAGCCTATGAAAAAGGTACCAGGGGCATCTTATGGGGCCCCCTACTGTCCCTGGGCCCTCGGGCAGTGCCCGAGTTTCCAAATGGTCAGTCCGCCCTGAGTGGGACTACAGGTCCCAAGATCCTTTAGAGGGGAGAAGGAAATATCCGTCTGTGCTACAGATATCCCTGATTTGCAGAATGCCCCAGCCTGAACCTGGCTACATATCTATCTATCTATCTATCTATCTATCTATCTATCTATCTATCTCCTTTTATATGGTATTCCACTTTATGTCAGTAGACTTGCTTGTGTTATTTTTATGTTCAAGTATGTGTAACCACCTCCTACCCAGCTACAGCTTGTGATTTTCTTCATCACAGAGTTCTTGTACCGTTTATCTATATTTTCCAAGAACATGGAGGAGGCCACTCGTTTACAGAGAGATGAGATGGGAACAGCAGAGTATGGTGTGACCAAATTTAGTGATCTCACAGGTAGGCATTCAAGTATTATCCATTCCATAGGGATAAATGCCCCATAACTTCGGGGTGCTGTAGTAGACTGCAGGGATGGTGTTTTCTGCTTTATAATTATACAGTAAATTAATGTCACCCCTAGACATCTTTTTTTAAAAGAGCACCAATTACATATAGACATTTCCACTAGAAAATCATTCTTGTACAATAATGGTCTTCTATTCAGATGTCAGTGACATCACCAACTAATGGTTCAGGACTGCACAGGGAACCTTATATTACTATGTCTTGAGAAAGAGGCTGAAACAAGGTTGGTGATATTCTTCTCACTGATATAGCTCTGTCAGGCTGTAATGATAAAATTTAGGTGGGAGGCAGTAAAACTACAGCGTAGACACCTGTTTTTACCACCCCCTGTCTGCCTGTGTGAAAGAGCCCTTACAGGTATTAGGCAGTTACTTTCCTAAGTCACCAGTGTAATATTTGTTTTCCTGTTTATAACTAAAGGCAATTTTTTTTTACATTTTGGGCAGAGTAGAGAGGGATTAGATACCCTGTCAGTTATTATTGCTGTCTGTGCCCCCCATTGGGGAGATTCTCCCTCTCTGTTTGTCCTGTTTACCATTATCATTGAAAGTGAAAGGAAAGGGAAATCTCAGATTTTGGGTTGTCCCAGAAAAGTAATATATTCCAATGAGGACACTAGTTCTGATTAGCTGGGGGCCCCCAAGTGATTCCCCTCATTTGCAGGAATTTCCTTTCACTTCCTGTTTTGGCAATGGGACAAGAAGTGAAGGGAAACCTCCCCTATGGGACACAGATGATGGAAAACAACTGACAGGGGCTATAACCCTCCATTACTCTATCCAAAATGGGGAAAAAGTTTCGAGTTTATTTCTACTTTGTCTATTTTTTAGTACATTGTGTTATGACTAAGTTAATGGTTTCCGTCTGTGTGGAACAGTGTGTAGGGGGAAGGTTAACCACATAAGTGAAAATATTTCTGAGCTGTGGTAGCTCCACTCATACAGTAGCTGCATTCACATACAGTTATGTGTATCAATTACATTAAATGTACTTTTTAAATACATCCACATTTGTAACCCTTTCTTTCCCTACTGTTTTTGCTTTTGTATGCCTGTCCTGGCAAGAAGTGAAGGAACATCTCCCTAATTTTAGAGTAAAAACACAGTGAGTGCTCCTGATGAAGCAGCTAATGCACTAGGTAACCAGAAAAAAACTCAAACAAATGTATAACAAGGCTAAAGGCTAAATCAATAAAATATATAATGAATAATAAAGCAAATAAAAAGTTCATAAAATTGAAAAAGTTCATATAATGATAATGGTGATATAGGATCCCAACCACAGCGATAATTAAGTGCTTGTGCTTTGAAGGTATAGTAAAAATACGCACTCATCAGATGCACATTGAATATGCGCATAGAAATATATCCAACAAGGTGCACTTTAGGGAACAGGATATGCCAGGCGTGTGGTGAACCTTCTTCAGAGTATTATACAGCACAGCAGAAACTCTGGGTGGGTAGGTGGTCAGCTCATCCAGAGGTCCCCTTTAAGAATGGATGGGTCTGCAGCCTGTATTACAGGGACTCCCTCCTCTGGGTACTTGAATGGGCCAGGCTCAAAAGTAGGCTCTGTGAATCATGTCGCATGGCAAGTCTGTGTGTGGACACCGGGAGGAACAGACAGACCTGGAACTGAGATAACCTGGAAATCTATGCCTTTTGGATAGCATCTGAACCGCATTAGATTCATAAGTCTGAATCGGGACTTCACTGGTCGCAACTTTTATCAATTGCCAACCATGTCTGTACACAACTTGACATTGACCGACTACAACACAAAGAGCGTTCAGACTTGTACAAGTGTAGCACAGGGAGCTACTGATTCACAGAGCCTACTTTTGAGCCTGGCCCATTCAAGTACCCAGAGGAGGGAGTCCCTGTAATACAGGCTGCAGACCCATCCATCCTTAAAGGGGACCTCTGGATGAGCTGACCACCTACCCAACCCAAGAGCTTCTGCTGTGCTGTATAATACCCTGAAGGAGGTTAACCACACACCTGGCATATCCTGTTCCCTAAAGTGGACTGTGTTGGATATATTTATATGCGCATATTCAATGCGCATTGGTGAGTGCGCATTCTTACTATACCTTCAAAGCACAAGCACTTAATTATTGCTGCAGTTGGGATTCTATATCACCATTATCATTATATGAACTTTTTCAATTTTATGAACTTTTTATTTGCGATATTATTCATTATATATTTTATTGATTTAGCCTTTTATTTGAATCCTAGCGCTGGACTCCTGTTATACATCTCCCTAATTTTGACACAGAAAATACACCTCGCAAAGTCTTTAATAAAAGGAAAATGTATTATCAAATTCTTACTATAACTTATAAACACAAAAAAACCCACACTACCATACAATAAGACCAAAATGTTATAAAATAAATAAAAAAACATTTTTGTTTCCGCTAAACCACTTTCATTTGTTCCAACATCCAAAGAATAGTCATATCAAAAGTGTAGTGTGACAATTCCAATATGTGTGCAATCATAAATAAATTAACACTGTGAATAAATTATAAAGTTCCTTAAAACCAGCAATGAAAAGTGTCCATGTGATTTTTTGTTTGTATATACCTTGCAATGACAAACAACATGTAGAACCGATTGTTTGTACAGTATGTATAATACGAATTCTTGTATGCTCCAGAGAACAGTATTTTGTACCTAATGTAAAGTGCAATCTTGACGTTCCTACTTCACAAAAAGTGTTGTGCGTACTTGTAGTATTGAAAGACTTGTAAAACGAATTATTATATAGACTGTATATTAGGAGTCCTTGTTTCCAAAAATAAAAAGGGGGTTGAGTTACTAAAGGCAACTAGATAGTGCACTTTGCAAAGTGCAGGTGCACTCTGCAAAAGCAGTTGCTCCAGAGCTTAGTAAATGAGCAGAAACTCTGCTGACTTCCATCATCCAGTCATGTGCAAGCAAAAATTACATTTTTTATTTTCCTTACACATGACTGGGTATTCTTTGTAAAATTAAGCTTTACCTCATTTACTAAGCTCTGGAGCAACTGTATTGTGCAAAGTCCACAGTCTATTTGCCTTTAGTAAATCAACCCAAATGTTTCCTTCCTGATGTACAGTGCAATCTTGCCATGTATTCTCCACAGAAAGTGCTGTGCGTACTTCACCAAAGTGCGTCACCATCTTAAGTTCAAACCGCTTACCCCAACGTTTGACCCACACTCTTGTAAGGTCAACACTTGCTTTGCCTTTTAACGGCTTCCGCACAGCCCTATAGCAGAAATACTGCTACAGGGCAGCACAGGTGCGCAAAATCACATATATATACGTGATTTTGCAGTTCCGGGGAGGGCCATTCGTGGCCTCGACTGTCAATCACTAGGTCCCGGCCGATGATTCCTTGGCGATTTCCAAGTAATACTGATGGGGATGAGACCTGTGTATAAACAACATAGATCTCTCCCCTGTCAGCTACTGCACACTGCTTTGTATGGCTCTGCTACAAAGCAGTGTGCTTACAGTGTAAAGCACACACACAGCACACAGTAAAACTTTTGATCACCTGTCATGTTAACCCTTACTGCCAAGTGCCATTAGTACAGTGTCAGTGCTTTTTATTAGCACTGATCACTGTATTGGTGTCATTGGGGATGTCAATGACACCAAGTCAGTTCGCCCCAGTGTCAGAATGCCCACCGCAGCCTGCTATAAGTCGCTGATCACCGCCATTACTAGTGAAAAAAAAAAATTCCAGTATATATACCGCCATTTGTAAACGCTATAACTTTCACGTAAACCAATTAAGTTACACGGATTGGGATTTTTTTTGTACGTGTAGCAGAAAACATTTATGGCAAAATTAGATTTTTAAAAAATTTTTACTGGACATGTTTAATATCAAAAAGTGAAAAATATAGGTTTTTTTTAAATATTGTCGATATTTTTTGTTTATAGCTCAAAAAAAAAAAAATGCATAGTCAATAAAACACCACTGAAAGAAAGCTCTATTTGTGGGAAAAAAAGGACATAAATTTCATTTGGGTGCAGCATGGCATGACCGCGCAATTGTCAGTTAAAGAAATGCAGCGCAGTATCGCAAAAACTGCCTGGTCAGGAAGGGGGGTAAATCCTCTGGAGAGCAAGTGGTTAACCCAGATAGGTATGTACTGCAGGAGACCACCAAATATACTAACAACTGGTCTGCACACTTCCTTCCACCTCCGCAATGCAGTGGTTACCACCAGTGCTTAGCTGCTTTGTTCTCAATGGGCATGTATATAAATGATCTCCAGTGTCTTGGCCGCTTTTCCCTTTGTAAAAGTCATGATGAAACATATCAGGGGCATAGCCAAGTAATGTCATCACACCCGCAACTGGAACTAAGGCATGTTTATACATATCTCAAGCTGATGCTCATCCTCAAGGGGGCAATGTTACGGTTACTGGATTTAAGTGCACCTTTCTTGTGAGTGCTATCTTATTTTAGCTCAATAAAAGGTGATGTTTATGGAAACATTAAACTATGAGAGGCATTTTTATTCTTTTTTGGTGAGTGTTGCCTGAGCTGAAGTGGAGCTGGAAAGAAGATTGCAGACCGGTTGTTAGTAAATTTGGTGGACTTCTGCAGTGCATACCTACCCACGTTAAAGTGCAAAGCGTGTGTTAACCTTACCAGAGTGTGGGGCAGACTTTTAGGTAAGCAGTTTGAACTAAAAATGATTGTGCACTTTGATGAAGTACAGACAGCACTTTCTGTGGAGAACGCATAGCAAGATTTTTTTGGAAACAAGGTCTACCAATATATATATAACAATTTGTTTTGTAAGTTTTTTGATACTACATATACGAGTGGCACCTTTTGTGAAGTGAGCATGGCAAGACTGCACTTTACATTAGGTAGAAAATGCTGTTTGCTGGAGGATACACGGATTCATATTATACATACAAACAATCAGTTCTGCACATTGTTTTTGATATTGCAAGGTATATACAGACTCAAAAAATCACACTGACACTTTTTTCATTGCTTGTGTTAAGGAACTTTATTATTATTCACAGTATTAATTTATTTATATGACTGCACAAATATCGGAATTGTTACGTTACACTTTAGATATAACTACTTACCATAATTTTCTTTTCCTGGTAGACTCCATGGCAGCATACATTTGGATAGACTCTGCCCTCTCTCCTACTCCATTGGACCCCACTCCCATAAATTTTGAGGATGATCCAGAGAATGTGTTCCGTACCAAGCCTACACTGGGAGAGTACCCATGCTGTCATAGAGTCTATCAGGAAATGAAAATTACAGTAAGAAATTGATAAAAAAATGTTTTTTCCTGAATTAATCCATGGCAACATTTGTTCAGGCAATAACTAACCGAAAAAAAAAGAAAATACAAGGATTGGATGCAGAAAAAGTAATGGTTCAATCATAGCTCTTAGCCAGCAGAAACATTAAAGCCAAAAATTTAGCAGGATATGAAAGTTAGCTTTACACACCACAATGAGCCAGAATAGCTTTAGTGGAGGACCATGCATCTACCTTCAATTATTCCTGGCAGCCTCTTACAGGGAACCAATGAAGTCTACACACTCCTGGCTGAGTTGTCATGTGTCTGTGGGCACCAAGTCTTTAGCCCTGTAAGCTGTGCTAGAGAGTAACAAAGAGGTGGCTTAAATCTCTAAACAAAGCTGTAATTTGTGGGAAAGCTTGAAGTATCTCAATGTCCAGGACATACAACCAGTTATTCTTAGTGTTCTTGCATGTGGAGAGAATAATTTTTCATAGAAATCCGAAGCCACCTTGGGTTGCATCTCAGTTTAGGTATAAACACTACCTGGACTAGGCAGATGCCAAAAAAGGGTTCCTCATAGTTCAAGCCTTAATCCTGGAAAACTTCCAGGCTGAGGAAAAAGCCCTTAAAGAGGCTGCATTCATGACTGAGCCTTTACTCAAAACTGTACTGAAAGTGATCCAATCTGGAGCTGCAAGCTGCCAAAAAAGGTCAATACCCTGATCCTAGCAAACTTCCTGGCTGGGGATATAGCCCTTAGAGAGTCTTCATGGCTCATTCTCCACTCAAACTTGACTGAAGGTAATCTCATATGGAGCAGGCAAAGAAGTCCAGAGCAAGTAGAAAATCCCATGTAAAGAGTCTTAGATGCAGCACCCCATTAAGGTATTGGATGAGTAAGGGATAGTTCACCCATGAGACATTGGAGGTAACAGGGAGTTCAAAAATCTGCCCTGTATTACAGCTGGAGCATAGTAAAAGTCCAGAATGTACTTGACCTGGGAACTGAAGAAAAATAAAACAAATAAGTCAAAATTGAACAAGCTTTATTCAAATCCTATTGTAAGCCATGGTAGTGCACGATGCACATTCTTCCAGGAGTATAACTATAAGCTTAGAGAAAAACAGCCAAGTCTGATTAGTCTTTTCCTCTTAAGACAAAAATTGGAAAATTGACGATCAAAGACGAAGTTGTCTTTAGCAATAGACCTAAAAATCTTATTGGATCAGACTGGAGGAAAAGCACATGGCTTGTGAAACCATTCCTGATCTGCCACAGCATCCTCTCAAAGGGCTTGCTGGCCCAGGCTCTTTGGAAAAAGACTTCCCAGCTTGCAATTACAAGGAAATGCAAACAGATCCAACTCCAGGATCTTGCCCGGAGATGAAGTCTATTTGAAGGAACCTTGATGTAGGAACCACCTGTTGTCCAATTGGGCCACTGAACATGAATTCGTCCTGGAAGTCCTGAATCCCTGGAATGTAGACCTGCTTAAACGTTAGAGAGATTCCTCTCTACCCAGGTCACAATCATCTCCACCTCTCCCAGTAGACTGACCTTGCAGGCAGGGCCAGTGCTAGACTATTTTGCGCCTTAGGCAAGGCAAGCTACTTGAGACCATCCCCCCAAAAAAAATAAATTACATTTTTTTAAAACAGTAGAACATATTAAATCAACAAAACTGCAGAATTTCTGTTAATTTGCAAAAATAAGTGCCGTAAGATACCACCAGCACCAATATTAAAGACAAAATCAGTGTCACGGATGGACTATATCTGTGGCTGGCAGTGGCAGGGTGACAGTTGCAGTGAATGGAGGATGGATCTACATTCTGACAGATCCCAGGCTGACATTCCCCAGGCAATGGGAGGAGAAAAAACACTGTGACAGCAGGCAGCAGAACTGAGCGATCCCACACAGTGACTAGGCACTAGAAGAGCAGGCTGTGGGATCGTGATGATGTCATCACTCACTGACACATTGTACTTGTGATGGATGTCTGGTCAGCTGGGTCACACTCACACAGACACAAGACATCAGAGTCAGACATTACCTTTCTCCGTAGGCACAGCTCTGCCTCCACTGATGAATGAGAAAAAAAGGGCTGGAACTCCACAGTGATCAGCATCAGCCAGCCGGCTTGCAGTAAGGGACTGAGTCTGAGAGGAACACTGGAAGGAGCTGCAGCTCAGCTGCTACACTGGCCACAGACACACGCATCTACCTCTGTCCTTTCTTCCGCCTCTCTGCCGCCCCTCCTCTCAGCTGAAGGATCATTCATGGCGTGGCAGCATTCCACACAGAGAGAGTGCTGGCCTGTGCTGTGCCCAGGTGCCCCTAGTGGATGCACCGGCCCTGCTTGCATGTTATGACTTGCCCCAAGATATATTTCACCACTGACACGTTGTTCTGCCTCATTGAGACTAGAGGGCCTACTGTCAGGTGATGAAAGACATGGTGAGCAAAGTAGGGCTGGTCAGAAATCCAGAGTGTATGAAACAACTTCCTGAACAGGGGAGTTCACTGGCCATAGTTCTGCAGCACAGATATATTACTAATGTGCCAGCACCCAAGGCTTCTTCTGATTGTGGGATATAAATAGCTTGGCACATGCTCACTGTTGGAGAAAAACCCTTCTGGATTGGGGGCCTCCTCGACTGAGCCCACTCTAATATAGGGTTGGGAGAGACCATGGTCCCAATCATCATCAGGCATTGGCACCCTGACTGATGAAGAGAGGAAAGCCAGGATAAACCCGCACCATATCACCAGTATGCTCTAGTGGCAAAAAATAATGTATTCTGAACAGTGATGAATAAGGCTCCCGAATGCACAAGGACTAGGTCGAGAGATTACCCTTTTTTGAAACACTTGCCAGCCAGCCTCCTGTAGGATTCTCAGAATCTCGTCTGTGTTCTTGAAAAACATCTCTTTCTTGAGAAGGAGTAGATTGAGAATCCGACAAGCCATGTGAGCAGCATAATGTCTTGACCCATGTAGAAACTGAGGTACATCAGAAAAATGGAAGCTCTGGGAAAGTGGAAATAGGCAACCCTCCAAGCATCAACCATGCCCGTCTTAAAATCTCATCTACTGAGATTGGAATTTCTGTCCTCTGAGATGGTAGGATTTCTTTCAGTATTGCTGGGGAAACCAGACTCAACCTGACACCATCCCTATCATAGCTTGGAATACAAGGTCACATTGTACCACTGATGATTGGAAAAGCTGCTCCTCTTCTTTTTGTGCCATGAACACTACCCTGCTGATAGCTGGGAAACCCAGTATCATCCTGTAACTGTCCCCCAGATAGCTAGGAACAACTTGTCTCCACTCATAACCCTGCCAGAGATCCAGGAGCTGACATTCATCAGTAAACTAGCGAAGAACGCCATCTTGACAAGTCCCATGAGAAGGACAAAAATGGAACACAATCTCTGGCTCAGCCTCAGAATTTAAGGGAGTGGGGTCCTATGGGATAGGAATGAGGGCAGAGTTCATCCAAATGTATGCTCCCATGGAGTCAGTAAGAAAAAACTGTTTTGCCTGAAATTGGGCATTACATGTGGTTTATAGCTAGCAACAAATTATTTAGTCTTTATATTACTAAATGACCCTTGACATCATATCATTGCATAGTCACTTTGCCTACTGCATTTCTAGTAATCTGACTAACAGCTTAGCTTTAGACTGTTTTATCCATCAATGAAAGCAGGATGTTATATGAAAGTGATATCATTTTTGGCTTACTCAAGTTAAGACTTTACTGTAGTTGCATACATTCTGCAGACAACTGACTGTAATATGTAATTTTTCCAAAGCTGAGGAATTTAGGAGTTACGGAATAAATTCCAGTACTGGTATGGATCTATCCAATCTAAAACGAGCAGTAACTTCAGCTACATTTCCATTCAGTCATGACTGGAGGAAAATGGGAGTTATTTCAGAAGTGAAAGATCAGGTAAGAAATTCCTATCTTAAATTAACGAAATGGAATATAACATACTTTACTGTTGCTGTTAAAGCACAACTCGTGCCAACATGCGTTTCTACAGTGAGGACATTTTTAGGCAGTAGCTGGAGAAGGCTCTGAGCAAAGTTTAGAAACAGTTCCATCCCACACAATTGGAAATTATCAGTCTGAAAATTTTTTGATTTAGGGGTATATTTATAAAGCAGTGAACGTGACATTCACCAAATATTCCCTTCAGGTGTATTTTCCTCAATGACACTGAGTGATTCATCTGCAGTGAAAGGTTGGTAAATGTTATATTTACTGATATACTTATAAAAATACCCCTTAAAGTGTATGTAATTCCAAACACAACACAAAGTTGTGTAAATAGCTACTTTTTTGCCCTTTGAAAGTAGTTGGAGCAAAGTTTTTTAATGTATATTTTGATATGTTTTTTAACTTTGTTAAATATAAATAGTTAAAACAGTCTACCTACCCCCCCCTTGCTAATTTTTTCCCCCCATTATTCTAAGGAATAGTTTCCCAAGAGCCTAACCCTTATGCTAGCCATAGATAGAGTGGATCTAAGTTTGGTCGGTTCAGCAGGGACAAACCAAGTTTAGGTCCATGTGTAGCCATTCCTGTTAGAGGAAAGTTGGTCGCTAGATCCTGCTGTCAGAATACAATGTCGTGGTTCCATTTTGTCAGTCGCTTTTTTTTCTGCAGCCTGCTGGATAAACAAAAAAGAAACTGAATACTCTATGGCCTGCTTTAATTTAGTTCTTTAGCTCTGATTCACACCTGTGCGGCTATGAAGTTATGCTACTTCAGCGCGACTTCAAAGCTGACTATCAGTGCGGTTTCATTTGCGGCTTGCTGACATCTGGGAGTCTTCCTTTAACAGATGCCATTGTAGGACCTGAGTTGCAGTGATTCGAAAAGGTTCAAGTGGGGTGCGATTTGTCATGCCACTTTGAACTGTCAAGTCGCAAAACAAGTCACACTGGTGTGAACCAGGACTTACAGTTTTGTTTTTTTTTATTTGTTAAGTTTGTTTTAAAACAAATATAAAACAGGGCTTAATGAGATTGTCATAGCCAGGGCGAGGACAAGGTTTGGGCAGGAGGGGCGGTTTCCCTGGGTGCAATGATTTACTGTAGGGATGGGGGCCTCTTCCTTCTGTTACAAGGCTCACAGGAGTAGTAGTGATAGTGGCAGTGATTTTGACAAGCGTGTGACTGCTAGGCGTAGGATCTCCTAGGCTTGCAGATCATGAAAGGGGGGAAGCAGTTTGGCATCTTTGCCAAAACTGTAAGTCCTGGTTCACACCAGTGTGACTTGTTTTGCGACTTGACAGTTCAAAGTGGCATGACAAGTTGCACCCCATTTGAACCTTTTCGAATCGCTGCAACTCAGGCCCTACATTGGCATCTGTTAAAGGATGACTCACAGATGTCAGCAAGCCGCACATGAAACCGCACTGATAGTTAGCTTTGATGACCTTGTCCTAGCACTAGTCATTGCCAAAGGATTACTACTCTTGCACAAATTGTATTGAACTGTACTTGATAACTACATACTAGATGCACCACATACTAGCACATTATGATAAACTTACCTTTTAATTGGAGCCCTCCAGAGCTGAGCTGTCAACACTGCTGGTGCTTCCATCTTTGCCTGTTCTTTTACCGGGTTCGTGCTATCTGGCCATTTGAATGGCCATACTGCAATGACGTTATGCATGGAAAGCACGGTCACAGCACAACACTCTCTGCAGTCACAACAAACTCAGTGTTCCATGAATGCAGAGAGTACTACAAATGCTGGAGCCAATGTTAATATCTACTAAATGGCACAAGTTCAGTCCATTTCTAAGGCACTTATAGGTGAGACTGTTTATAAGCTTATCTGTAGGGCAAACTTAAAAATTTGACTTCAATATCACTTTAATACTTGTTGACCCTGCCAATTTTCTGAAGGCTACTTTAATAAGGTAATTGCTAACTCCCAATGCCCAATGTGTCCCCTTGTGTAAATTACAGCATTACTTTCGTCAATTTTATAGTCACTGCTTCCTGCTGGTTGACATCTCCTCTAATCATTTAGCAGCTGAGATTGGGATGTCCTGTAATTGTAACTGACCCTTTTGCTGGACAGCTTGGTCTGTTAAAAAAAAAAAAAAACTTGGAAAAATAACACATTTGCTGCTATTGATCAACTACACCTTTATGTAATTTTTTATTTTTAAAGTGTTTCTAAACCCGCAACAGTAAAATCAGTCTGTATATGCAGTAAAGCATGCTTGTTATACTCACTGTGGAACCTCAGGGGTTAATCCTCTGCATCCTCTGTAAAAAGGTTGTTTGATCCTGTCTTCTCTGCTCCTCCTCTTGTTCAAATGTCCACATCTTATTTTCTAATAAGACAGACTGAACCCATAGCCATTCTGCACATGTTTAGTTTAGTGTGTATTGCTAGAGAGATTTTTTTTTTTTGGGAGAGTGCATGTGATCAGCACAGGGCCAATCAGCACTCTCCAGACAGAGGTCAGGGGTTTTGCATCCTCCTAGAGCAGAGCGAAAACTCCTCCTACAAGCTTTACTCAGTGCTCTGCTGGATACTGATAGAAGTCACAAGACTTCTATATACTGCTGATGAGAAGATATTTAGCAGTTTATATTTTTACTAAAATAATTGCACTTCCATGTTCTGTGTACTGTGGGAGACCAGATCTAGTGAATGCAGGGTTCTCCAAAAGAACTCCAAAGTTCTCAGGTAACCACAGCTGTTTTAAAGGCTGAAAAACCCAAGATTATTATTTAGAAGTACAGGTGAAACGCGAACAATTAGAATATCGTGCAAAAGTTCATTTATTTCAGTAATGCAACTTAAAAGGTGAAACTAATATATGAGATAGACTCATTACATGCAAAGCAAGATAGTTCAAGCCATGATTTGTCATAATTGTGATGATTATGGCTTACAGCTCATGAAAACCCCAAATCCACAATCTCAGAAAATTAGAATATTACATGCAATCAATAAAACAAGGATTGTACATAGAACGATATCAGACGTCTGAAAAGTATAAGCATGCATATGTACTTGGTTTGGGCCCCTTTTGCAGCAATTACTGCCTCAATGTGGCGTGGCATGGAAGCTATCAGCCTGTGGCACTGCTGAGGTGTTATAAAAGACCAGGATGCTTCAATAGCGGCCTTCAGCTCTTCTGATTTGTTCGGTCTCATGTCTCTCATCTTTCTCTTGGCAGTGCCCCATAAATTCTCTATGGGCTTCAGGTCAGGCGAGTTGCTGGGCAATCAAGCACAGTAATCCCACGGTCATTGAACCAGGTTCTGGTGCTTTTGGCAGTGTTAGGCAGGTGCCAAGTCCTACTGGAAAATGAAGTCAGCATCCCCATTAAGCTCATTTGCGGAAGGAAGCATGAAGTGCTCCAAAATCTCTTGGTAAACGGCTGCGTTGACCCTGGACTTAATGAAGCACGGTGGACCAACACCAGCAGATGATATGGCTCCCCAAATCAACACAGACTGTGGAAACTTCACACTGGACTTCAAGCGTCTTGCAGTGTGTGCCTCTCCATTCTTCCTCCATACTCTGGGTCCTTGGTTTCCAAATGAGATGCAAAAGTTGCTCTCATCATAAAAGAGGACTTTGGACCACTGAGCAACAGACCAGGTCTGTTTTTCTTTAGCCCAGGTAAGACGCTTCTGACATTTATTGTTCAGGAGCAGCTTGACAAGAGGAATACGACATTTGAAGCCCATGTCCAGGATCCGTCTGTGTGTGGTGGCTCTTGATGCACTGACTCCAGCCTCAGTCCACTCCCTGTGAAAGTCCCCAACACTTTTGAATGGCCTTTTCCTGACAATCCTCTCCAGGCTGCGGTCATCCCTGCTGCTTGTGCACCTTTTACTTCCACACTTTTCCCTTCCACATAACTTTCTATTAATGTGCTTTGATACAGCACTTTGGGAACATCCAACTTCATTTGCAATTACCTGTTGAGGCTTTCCCTCCTTATGGAGGGTGTCAATGATGGTTTTCTGCACAACTGTCAGGTCAGCAGTCTTTCCCATGATTGTGATTCCTACTGAACCAGACTGAGAGACCATTTAAAGGCTCAGGAACCCTTTGCAGGTGCTATGGCTTAATTATCTGATTAGAGTGGGATACTTTGAGCCTAGAATATTGCACCTTTTCACAATATTCTAATTTTCTGAGATTGTGGATTTGGCGTTTCATGAGCTGTAAGCCATAATCATCACACTTATGACAAATCACGGCTTGAACTATCTTGCTTTGCATGTAATTAGTCTATCTCATATATTTAGTTTCACCTTTTAAGTTGCATTACTGAAATAAATGAACTTTTGCACGATATTCTAATTTTTCGAGTTTCACCTGTAAATGTATGGATACATTTCAAGAAAAAGACACCACAAACTAAAGGCTTTGATATTTGTTATTATTAATTAATCCATGTTAATACTCATATTATTCACAAGTTCAAAGGTTTGAAATAGTTTTAAGTTTATTATAAATTCATACATTTCATTAACAGGGGCAGTGTGGATCTTGTTGGGCCTTTGCAGCAGTTGGAAACATTGAGGCACAGTGGGGAATACAAGGAAATCCCAGGAACCTCTCAGTACAACGTAAACATTTTACATTTATCTTCTAGACCACTATCACCCTTTGTCTCAGATATTCACTATAGGTAGAATCTGAACATTTTATTAAGAACATACAATATTTCAAAGCTTTCTTACTCTATATACGTATTCAGAAAAGTGTAAACACAAAAATATTCCTGTGTAAAACTTATAATTTACATGATAGTAAAGTATTATAAAAAATATAAAAAAAAGTCCAATAGTGAAGTGTCCAACAGTGTTGCTTACAGTAATCATAACCAATGGAATGGGGTGACATCTATGAAGACTACATCCGTGACAATCCTCCACCACTATGCACTCACCAGAAGGCAGAAACAACTGAGCTCTATACAGAAATCCCTGTTGAAGATGTGACCTCTCCACAGCAGGAATGGATATGTATCAGATGCAGCTGGGCTCTGTATGGAAATCCCTCTGAAGGATGTGCGACTTCTCCAGTGCATGAATAAGCTAACAATCTGATGGTGGTGGATCCTAGAGAAAAGAGCTCACAGACCGGAGCCCAGGAAAGGTCGCATATAGTGTAGTATTTTTATTATATAAAAATGCAGTTACATCCATGTGGACCACTTAAAAACAGAAACAGCCACACTTACAAATATGGCCATCGGACCATCGCATAGACTCGGCGGCGTGACGTCAGCACCTAGGCTCCTTTCTTACGCGTTTCATGCACACACGCATTCTCAAAGGGACCCGTGCATGGAGGCGGGTCTCTCAAAGGGACCAGTGCGTGGAGGCGGGTCCGTGTGCATGAAATGCATCAGGGAGGAGCCTGAGGAAGTCACGTGACTCGTGACGTAACACATAGCACGGAAGCGTGGTGACATCATCCCGATACGGACAGTAGCCGCCATCTTGGTACTCCCTACCTCATACACCCTATACTGTTTTAAATACAGTGATTGCCTGTTGCGTTTGCAGACCCGTTTTTATCTTGTGAGTAGTTTTCTTTTTTACATTACAATATAGTATGACTTACTACACTAAGGAAGCTCTTTTCTGATCCCTTTTTATGAGGATTTTGGAGGAGGAGGATGAGATTTAAAGATATACATCCTTATGGATACTGGTATTACTGATTGCTGTGTATGCCGTGGAGAGGAACCTTCGTTTGTTTTATCAGTGAGATCCATTCGCTTGGGGATCATCCACCTGCATTTATGCTGTGTGACTCCTTGCGGGTCGCAATCCAAAGGTGAGCGTGCACGCTAGGTGATGAAGGATCGTCCCTCTGTCTGTGGTCACTGTTGGTTCACATTTTTTGAAGCTACATACATCGTTTGTTTTTGTTGGACTTTTTTTTCTATTTTTTGGGACTTTGTTTTTTTTAGGACTGTGGTTCTGGACTTTTTTTTTTTTTTCGTCCATTATTGGGGACGTATTATTTATTTTTATTCTTTGTCATTGGTTGCATTGTCCTTTGTGATGATTTATCCACTTCACATTTATGTTGTTTCACTATTTGGCCACGTTTATTTACTGCGCATTTTATGTTTGGCCATGTTTATCTCTGTTGCCACATTTTGATGCCCCTTTTATATGGTCATTGATTTATTCATCCACTGCACACCTGATGCTTTTCATTCTATTATTTTTTGGCCAAGTTTCTCTCTTTATAAGTATATATTTTGTGATATTTGTTAAATCTCACTTTATTATCGCTGATGCAGCGTTGTTTTATGTCATCACATTTGCACACTTGATGTTTTCTTGCACTCACCATTTTTATCTTTATTGCCACTGGATTATCCTATTGTGGCATTCACCCTTGTGGTAGTATTTGGATATTCGTTATATGGTTGTATGTGGATTGTTCACTTTTTTGGATTTATATCACTGTTCACTCATTTATTTATGTGTATTGTTCATTCACCCCTGAAGTAGCACAGCACCATTAACTTCAATTATCTTTTCTCACTATTTGATTATACAGTAGTTAGGTGTTAGCAGCCACTTCTTTTGACAGATAGTACTTTATTGGCAGTGCAGGAGGCCTCTCTTTTTTTCTAGTTGATATGGTTGCCTTCTCCCTCTCACTTGTGACCAACTTCCCCTGATCATCTTTTATGGGGCCAATATGTTCCAACTTCACCTTCTCACCATTCTAAAGGTGCTATTGACATGACATTTTAACCACATGTCGGTAACAACCCATGCAATCCATACATACAAAGAAACCAAAATAAATAAGCTCAGACATTAAGTTATGTGTAATAAAATGGAATGACACAGGGAGAAAAGTATTGAACGCGCTAACTGAAATGTATTTAATACTGCATACAAAAATCCTTTGTTGGTAATGACAGCTTCAAGACACCTCCTGTATGAAGATTCTAGTCGCTGCATTGCTCAGGTGTGATTTCCGCCTATTCTACCACAGTCTTCAAATCTTGAAGGTTCCGTGGGCCTCTTCTATAAGCTCTGATCTTTAGTTCTTTCCATATATTTTTTCATATTGGATTCAAGTCAGGTGATTGGCTGGGCCATTCTAGAAAGCTTTATTTTCTTTCTTTGAAACCAACTGAGAGTTTCCTTGGTTTTGTGTTTGGGATCATTGTCTTGCTGAAAATGTCCACTTTCGTTTCATCTTCATCATCCTGGTAGATGGCAGCAGATTTTTATCAAGAATGTCTTGGTACATTTTTCCATTCATCCTTCCTTCAGTGATATGAAGTTTACCAGTACCATATGCTGAAAAAAAGCTCCACGCCATGATGTTCCCACCTCCAAACTTCACTGTTGGTATGGTGTTTGGGGTGATGTGCAGTGTTATTTGACCTCCAAACATGGTGTGTATTATGGCATCCAAAGAGTTCAATTTTGGTCTCATCTGACCAGACTATATTATCCCAGTTGTGGTGTGATCCTCCTGCGCTCCTAGCGTAAATAACTTCTGACTGCGGGGAGCTGCTAACACCTAATCATATACCATGTGACAATACAAAATCTTAAATTAAATGGTTCGCTGCACCATTTTATTTAAGATTTTATATTCTCCCCCAGTATTTCACAGGCTTGTCTAAATTTTGTACAACAAACCTTAAACGAGCTTGAACATGCTTTTTCTTCAGCAACGGAGTCTTTCGTGGTGAGAATGCATACAAGCCATGGCAGTAGAGTGCATTACTTATTGTTTTCTTTGAAACAATTGTACCTCCAGTTCTTTCTGAAGCTCTCCACAAGTGGTCCTTGGCTTGTGGACAACTCTTCTAATAATTCTTTTCACTCCTCTGTCAGAAATCTTGAGAGGAGCAGCTGGCCGTGGACGGTTTATTGTGAAATGATGTTCTTTCCACTTCCAGATTATGGCCCCAATAATGCTCACTGGAACATTCAGAAGTTTAGAAATCCTTCTGTAACCAATGCCATCAGTAGGTTTTGCAATAAAAAAGGTTGCAAAGGTCTTGAGAGAGCTCTTTGCTTTTACCCATCATGAGACATTTCTTGTGTGATACCTTGGTAATGAGACACCTTTGTATAGGCCATCATTTGAGACTGAACCAGCTGATTTTAATTTGCACTGACAAGGTGCAGGATTTCTTTTAATTACTGATAGATTGCAGCTGGTTTCTTGGATTTCCATGCCTTTTTTGCACTTCCCTTTCTTCATGTGTTCAATACTTTTTCTCCGTGTCATTCCATTTTATTACACATAACTTAATTTCTGAAGTTATTTGTTTTGGTTTCTTTGTATGTATGGATTGCATGGGTTGTTACCGATATGTGGTGAAAATGTCATGTTAATAGCACCTTTAGAAATATATTTACTGAGAAAAATGATGACATGTTCAAACTTATTTTACTTGAAAACATTTTGGGGACTTTTTAAAATTCTTTTCAATAATTTGTAACTCATATGCCATTTTAGCTGTCCTGATCTCATTTTTGCATTTCTTTTTAATTTTTTTAAAGTTTTGGAATGCCAGTGATGACCATTGAGCTTTATTTTTTTTAAAGGACATTTTTTCTCAATTACATTAGAATTTATGCTTTTTCATATTAGAATTTCTCCACCTAGGTTTAACGTTTGTTCTTTTATATATTTGTTGTTCTTTGGAATGAATGACACATGCCATTGTCTTATACTGTATGTTCCTAAAAACACACCCCCACTTCTCTTTAGTGTCATTGTTGCAAGAAATTGATCCTATTTAGTATCATGTAGTTTGGAGTGCAGCTTAGTAAAGTTCACTGTGAAATTTAGTGTTCTTGTCCTACCCACCTATGTAGCCTCCTTGGCTAGAGGCAGAAAGCAATTTAGGACATTGTGCTGCAGTGTTTTTTCTGTGTTTCCCAATGCACTTCAGCTGAATGGATTAAAATTAACTCGACTCCATCCACCAGGGAGGGAGCTGACAAGCAGAAGGAGCTCAAGAGACTTGATGGTTGGCAAGCACTGAATCATGGGAGATGAAATTCAAGAAAGAAACTTTATTATGGCAGTTAATTGACTATTGCACTACAATTCCCAATGTGAGCTGGGTAAAAAAAAGAGAGAGTTATATTTGCACAGGCTGAATACTGAGGGATTTCTTCTTTGCTGCGATGAGACTGAGGTGTATACATCGCTGCTTCAGTGTGCATAGAGCTCTGAAGAAGAAGGGGTCACCTTCGAAACGTGTTAGCCATCCATTATCGCAGTGAGGTCCCCCTGCACTCTGGAGTATATCGAGTTGAGGACTACTGAGCTACAGCTGAGATTTAATTCACGATTTTAAGACAATTTTAATTAACGTGTTTGTGAGTATTATTTGTGCTGGTTTTAAAATAAATGCTGTGGGATAATGCACTATGCTGGTGCACCCTTTTTTGTTCCTTTTTTTACAGTATTACAATTTCCTGATTTTTGACCAGCGACCAGAGTGAAGAGTGGTATATGGCATTTATGCTGTATCTCAACAACTAGAGCTGATAGAGAAAAACTGGTGACATTATTTAAATCAAATATACCAGGAGCAGATTGTATGTTTGAAGCA